CTCTAATCTTGGTCTGTAGTGGCAAAGCATAAAAATCAACAACAAAATGAGTAAATCAACATCCAGCAGAACACCGCCAGTAAGTCTACGAGCTAACTCACGCGCACGGGTGGGGTCGTCGACGTATTGCTTGCGGGTCTTAGTGAACGTCTTGGTGAACGACTTGTCTCCCGCCTTGGTGAGTCTATTTTTTGCTAGGCTTCGTAGGGCCTACATCACCAACAAACACACAGCACATCGCGCACATGAGTTCACCAACTATCCTCTCCTCAAACTGCAGTAACCATCTACCTCACGTCTCTTTTTCAAAGGTTTGGTACGATTGCGCTGCATCACAACGATGGGAATGATGCCGAGAGCCAGCACGGCCACGAGGCCCACCCAGTTCGCCAGAGAGTCCTCCACGCCTTCCTCCGCGAAGCGAGCAGCCTCATCGAAGTTCCTACACAACTACAGTCAATACTCCCAACATGAAGTAATTCGAATCCACTGCTTTATCCACGTACTCGAAGCCCTGGTCATCGGCAATTCCATACACGTCGTATTTTTCACGACGTTCTGGGTCTGACAGCACGCGATACGCTGTTGCAGCAATAAAACACAGGAATCAGCACGAAGTCCTCGATGCATCATAATTATCGAGATCCGCCGCACCGTTGGTGATCTTAACGAACTCCTCCTTCATGGCCTCGCGTGTCTCCTCCGTTTGTTTATCCGGGTGGTACTTGAGCGACATTTTGCGGTAGCTGTAAACAGATCAAGTACATTGGAGTTACAGATTCGTTGGAATATCCCTGACTCAAAGCATTCTTTCTCCACTGCTACGCACGCGCGCTTCATTTGGGACGCAGTAGCGGATGACGAGACGCCTAGAAGCTCGTATAGGTCTTGCCCGAGCGCCACTGCGGTGCACAGAAGCAGACACAGCGCACCCAAGAACAAGCGTTTCCCCATCGTATTTCGTTGTCAAATGCCGAGATACGCGGCAGCCAGAGCAGCTCAATGCCAGTTTTTAACCAGTGATACATTTGCTTCTCTATTTTCAGCCAATAACTGAATGAGTCTTCATTGGCAGTTATTGGGGTGGATTGACACGGATGACCTCGGTGGGAGTTACCACCAGGTCGAGCATTTTATCATGCGCAGCTAACGGCACTTGCTCAATGAGTTGCGGCGTCAGACAAAGACCCTGCAATTACAATTATCAATGTGCTGTGCCAAGTTTTCTAGCGGAAATCCGATTGCAACAACACGTACAATGGTTGTGGGTGGTGGGTGTCCTATGGCGTTGTAGTGTTCCGTTAGCCGTCGCAGGAACGAGTCTACAGCAGCAACAAGACGCACTGAGCAGCAACTTCTTACAGCTTAGTATAACTTGCAGCAGAAGACTCACCGTAGTAACCCTTGCCATGGCCCAGGCGCCCTCCTTGGCGATCGAAGGCCACTCCTGGCAGCAGCACGAGCTCCAGCTCGTCGCCTTGCACTGCATCGTCACGCGGCGTGCCGGTGTCCGACAGCAGAGGAGGATCTGGAATCTGCCACTTGTCCTGCACAGTTTCCAGTCCATTACAGTCCGATCAGATCACTGAATAGTCTTCTACTAGGAGTAGGAGTCCTACAGACGAGCAGTAGTCGATCCGACCTTGGGGAAGCATCGGATGTCATCCATCGACGTAGCCTGCAGCATCATCAAGTCTTCGGCTGATCGCCCCGTGATTTTGGGCACGAAAACCTTTTTGCCTCCTGCGAAAGCGGCCTCCAGAAGCTTGGACGTGGCTGCCTCCTTGGGCATCTCCAGGTACACACTGATGCCGCGGGCTCGAGCGAACTCCGGCAAGGCGCATATCTTCTCGGCCAACAGGCGGCTCTGCTCCGTCACCTCGCTATCCGGCAGCGCCTTGAGAGTTGCTCCAATGCGGCGCCGCAGTTCCTTCTTCAGTGACGCGGCCATGTCCTCGACACTGCTCGAGGGTGCTATGCTACTGCTCGACGACATCCTTGAAACGTTTTAGTCCAGATCTAAATAGTTTATTTAGGAATTTGTAGGGATTTTTATCTAGCCTTTAGTGAAGCGGGCTTTTATTCAGTGCATCCGTTATTTCTATCAGCGGCAGAGAACAAACCCTTTGAAACTGATCTGATTTGATTGTTAAACCTTATAAATAAAGGTTTACTGAGCCAAAATTAGGAAAGTGATGTCTTAGAAAGACAACTTCTAAATATGATGGCTACAATCAGGTTTCACGGATTCTTCAATTTCGAGCGAAGAGGTGCACAACCCAAAGTTGGCCCCAACGTAGGCCAGCATTACGTTTCTTGCACTGCCCCAGCACGGAAGAGGAAGTCTATATGAACCGCCTTGACTACAGGCTGGAGAGGGCCTTGTCCTCAAGCTCAGCGCTAGACGACGAAGCACCATACTCCAGTACGTCTTCGCCGCGCCTCTGCTGTTTTGCTCTTAATCTCTAATATCAAATACATATGTTTGGTGTGAACTTATCCGTGAACCCTATTTGTCATAACGAACAGGTCGAGGTTCTGAATGTTTTGACATGGATATGGATGAGGAGGAGGCTCTGCGAAAGGCTGCACGGGCTGGTATTCAACTGCTCGAAGCCAACAAGGCATTGAACGAGGAGGTCTTGGCGCTGCGCGAGCAAGTGGCGGTGCTGGAGCACGAGCGACCGAAGCTACGCGCGCATTTAGAGTTGCGCGAGCAGGAGCTGGCCAATGTGATGGAGAATAGGAAGAATCTGCTCATGGAGGCCAGTGCGCTGCACAACGAGCTCAAGGCCAAGTCGGCACTCGTGACGGATCTATTAGAGAAGGAGGATCTGCTCAAGCAACAAGTGGCAGATGCCGAGGCTGCCAAGTCGGTGGCGGAGAACCACATTAGTGTCTTGCAGTTGGAGCTGGAGCAGCTCAGAATGGACACAGCCAAGAATGAAGCTGCAGAGCAGAATTACACTGTGGCGAACCCTGCAGCAACATACGACTCGAACCAGGCCAGTGTCTTTACGTACACGGACTACGAGGAACTGCAACAGCGACTGCACATCACGTCGGAGGAGAACGAAGCGCACACTTTGGAAGTCAAGAGTCTTCGGAAAGAGGTCGAAGCTCTGCGCCGCAAGGTGACCAAGCTACCAGAGTGTGTTGCTCACATCGAGCGCCTTGAGAAGCGTAATGAGAAGCTGCAAAGTGCCAATGATACGCTGCGTGAAGAGCGCATGGAAGAGCAAGCCGTACTGGACAGTCTCCGCTCAATGAACTTGGTGTATAAGAAGATCGCCGAGTCGCGTTCATTTGCAGCTGACTGCACGTGCTCCCAGCAACCGGAAGAGGCAGATCCGCAGACTTTGGGTGTCACTGTGCGTGACGTGCTCATTGACACGAACATGAAGCTTGAAGCCGAGCTACGCGAGTTGCGAGCCACCATGGACTTGCCGAATAGTCTGTCTGAGAATGCTGAAGAAGAGGTGTTGGAACAGGCACTTAAGCGCGTGGCCAGTAACAGCAGCAATGGGTCGGCGGCTTCGGACGCCAGCAGCAGCAGCGGTGAGTCGGTGGAGTCGGTGAATGAACGCCTTAGTCGCAAGTTGCAGATCGTCACCGAGAAATATAACTTATCCAAGGAAATGCTGCGTCACACCAAGGTGCAATGGTGTGCTGCAGTCGCGTCACAGAAGGCACTGGAGGAATGCAACAAGTCAGCTCAAGACGAGATTTCTCGACTCACACACCAGCTTGACTACCACATTGCAGCTCTCGCTGATGCGGATGTCGATGATAAAGAGAAACAGATTAGAGCACTTGTGGATGACGAAGACAGTAGCAAGTGGGCTGAGGAGACGGCGCCGTTCCCAGCGCCACCAGGAGACCTCAATTCGCCACTAATCAGACGTTTCCTGGATCAATGGACCACTGACAAATTGAAAGTCATGGCGCTTACTGATTGGCTGCACAACTCGATTCGAGGCACTGGTCGAGCGACACCCCTGCGGCTTGTGAACTTAACGAGCGAAATAGCTGCGGGTTTCACGCAGTTGCTGGTCCCCATTATGCGTGAGCGACACGGCATTTCCGTGAGCATTTACCGCCGTGATAGCGTGCACGTATTGTCAGACCTAGTGCTACAGACCAACCACCCCAGCGTGACGATGCAGTCTTACTCCACAGCCGCATCCAACGACAAAAAAGTCTTGCTGACGCATCCTCATGATCCGGAAGAAAGTAGTGAACCCGAGCTGGACTCTGCGTCATGCCGCACGCGAGGGAGCTCTGGCGATAGCGTATTGCTCAAAGGTGAGACGCAGTTCCTGTACGGCTGAGTTGACCAAGAATCAGCTGGATTCTGGCAAATATGAGCACAAGCTCACAACTTCCGGTGTATTATTGTGGCGGCTCACCATTTGCTCTATCCGAAAGACTCCAGTGGACTTACACATGTGTGTAGCGCTCCTCGAAGTCCCATGTCGGAACTTTACTCTAAATTCGTGTCTTCACTTCCCATGTGTGTTGCTCAACCTGAAATGTCGATGTTGAAGTTGTTCAGACTGGAGCTTCTAGTTTTAAAGGGTGATGATCTCTCCGATAGAGTATGGCATCAAATACGCATCCGTTTCAGGCGTAACGAGGTGGAGCATATCGCCGCCACTGCACGATTCATCGATCTCACCAACGCGAACGAGTGATCTGGCCCCATCATCGTAGCGCATAGTGATATACCATATCGGAAAGCCCACAAATTTAGGCATCCGAACTGCCTGCTGAACGTAACGTAGGTTCATCTGATGAAGAGGTTTCAAATGTGGGATACTACAGAGATTCTTGAGCCACGTGAAGCCTGTACGTTACAGTCTTCATTTTGACATAGCACAACACGTGTGGAAAGCCGCAGAGAGCGACGCTTGGGTGAAGCTAAATCACCGTGTTTCGACTCCCGTTCATCACTCCCGAATTCTCCGTCGAGCTCAGAAGCGAGGTCTTACTTCGCCGCTTGATCTCAAGGGACACTCTTCGCCTACCCGTACAGCACAAACCATCGTCAATCCGACAGAATGCTCACTGACAAGCAGCCAAAGTCGACGTTCAGCAGCCCGAGCTCGAACGGCCCAGCACCGCGCTGGAATGGCGACAGCAATGACGTGTCGGCGCTCTTCCCGGTCAACTTCTTGGAGCCCACGACGCCCGAGACGTTTCTAGAGCTGGATCCCGCCGGCTTCTTCACACACAATAGCAACAGCAGCGCAAGCAAAGGAACTTGCATGTCTGCCGGATTCGTCAGGACGTCTTCGTCTCAACCTGCTGTGAACGGCTGCTGGCTGGAGCCGTCGCGCGAACCATGCACGGACGAGATTCCGTGGTCAGACTTGGTATTCTGGCTGGGCAATGCGTCAACGGGCGAGGTGGTGTGCTCGTGCGCCCAGTGCACGCGGCGAGTTATGCGGGGATACAACGCGAATCTTCTGCGCCAGCAGCGCTACTCGCCGTATCAGCAGCAACAACTACAACAGCAGCAGAGGCGGCGAGTCTCGTCACGAGTGCCAGTGATCAACATGCCACGCATCGAGGGCGTCAACTGAAGTGTGCTACGACGCCGCCATCAATTCGTTTATAAGTTAAATATGCTGTACCCCCCGCGAGGGTTTTTGAATGCCACGTTGAAGTTTTCACAATTGTCGACGAATCCGCTGAAGTAGCAGTTCCTTTAATTTACAGTTGCAGTCCTGCTGGGGTATGATGCATGTACACGTAGCATGAAGCACTGTAGACTTCTGCATCGCTTTGGCAAAGTGTTTGCTAAGCAGCATTGGGAGGGACTTCACCATGGACTCCGAGTCGGAGACTGATCTTTTCCGAGGCTTCAACACTGAAGAATGCGCAAAGCGGCGACCAATGACGTGATGAAAAGGGGTAGGCGAGGGAATCAAGTCAGAAAAGAGACACGGTAGCTTCGACGTAGAAGTTGCAAATGAATGGCGGATATTCGTCGCTCGACAGCGAATCTACAGTACATCTGCGATACTAAATCGCCGACGTTGAAGTCGATTTGACAATGGTCTCCTTCTACGCGAGAACGCTCTGCTTCCAAGTCCGAAGACGGCTTCCTGAGATCCGCTGCACAGGGTGCGCCCAGCTGCACTGCTTTTTTTTCAGGAAGTTTGGCAATAGAGTGCAAGAACAGGCTGTTGAAGTCCCAGCTCTCTGCCAAGTCTGCTTCGCTTGAGGCATTCGACAGCGCTCCCGCGCATTTTGACGCAAGAAACCACACACCAGAAGCACCCCACCACTCTGTGGTGGTGGCACTGCCGTGCGTGGCGGTCGAGCGGGCACAGATCCCCATCGTCGGCGCTGATCGCGTTTCTAGGTGGTCCTCAAGTCAACACAAGCAAAAATGGGTGGAGACCAGAATCTTGCCGTGCGATTGGCCAAAAACCACGGGAAAAAGAACTGTCTCAAAGCGGGCGCTTCAAGGTCGCACATAGACGGGGTTTTCTTCTCTTCAACAAGAAGATTCTCCAGCGGCGAGGTGTCTCCATTTTGAACAAGAGGGGTCGAAATTAGGAGCGCTAGTCACCGATCAAAAATTTCCGCCTGAGGGCGGCATACCCCACGCAGCAGCCAATGCTTCTCGAAAACGAGAACTTTGGCACCACAGACGCTTCTTTTTTGTTGAAGTTGCCAGGAGTCAGAGCCGGGGATCTTCTGCTCTCTCCGGACCAATCACACGGATTAATGGTGTTGAAGTGAAAGATCCGGACCACTCACTAACTTTGCACCTGTAGTCATCAATACCCTATATAATATGCTGTACATTCACCAAACCTTCAGTCTACACACCTCTAATATATATTTTACCCGCGTTTGCCGATGTAGGTAAGTTTCTCAGTATTGAAGATTTCGTCAATTGACGACCAGCACGACGACGATTGGATGAAAATCGTCTGGTTGATTCAAGGGGGAGAAATGTCGGACGCGTTTCCAGCCGGTGGCCACTTCGAGGTTCACATCGCAATTCGGATCACTCAAGTCAAGAGCCCACGCCGCCTTCGTATCAGACAGGCAGCGTTATTCATATACATCACTGCAAATTCCCATGGACATGCGTTCGTTGATCCACCAGGGCTCGTCCCCTAGCAGCAGCAGCAGCAGCAGCAACAGCAGCAGCTCTGCCTCTGCTTCTAGCTCCAGCTCCACTGCCAGCGCACCCATCAGCAGTAGCTTCCCCACCTCCTCGACGCTACCTGTACCTTCATTCCCGGCCATGCGGCCACAGCCGACGATTTTCCAGCGCGCCGCAGTTGCCCAGGCACCGACGCTGGCCCCGCTCCGCTTCATCATCCCAAGCTCCCGCACGACCAACAGCTTCGGGGCAGGTCTCACGGCCTCCATCCCGTCCGCCCAACCCACTAGCCAACCTCTGTATAGCACAATAAGCGAGCCCGAGCGCGAGCCGCAGCCGCAACACTCGATGCTGTACCCGCAGGACCGCTTTACTATCAAGACGGAGCAGCAGCAGCTCTCCCCCACAACCGACAGTATGCTCGAGGATCCCAGCCAGCCCAAGAAGATCACACCTAAGCGCACACGTACTCCAAAGCTCTCCAATCGCTCCACCAAGAGCAAAGCTCGCCCAGGTCTTCGCAAGGGCAAGTGGACAGAAGAGGAAAGTCGATACGCTGCCCAACTCACCAACTACTTCAAGGAGGGTCTTCTGCCTATCGAGAGAGGCACAATGCTGCGTCTCTATCTGTCGCAGAAGCTCAATTGTGAGCCTATGCGTATCACCAAGAAGTTCACGGGCGGAGAGTGCATCGGCAAGCAAGTCTTCCGTCCATGCAGCCCCACTCCGGAGTCCCGAGTGAGGATCATGCAGGCACAGCTCGAACTAGTGGCACTCGAGGCAGCCTTCATCAAGAGACTCAAAGAGAACCGGGAGGACCCTCCCATCCAGACGGACGAGTTCGACGTGCGCTCCACATCGTCTGGCAACAGGTCACGACCTGTACCGCTCAAGCCCCGCATGTACCAGGATGGTGATGGGAACAAGGAGGGCGATGAGGATGACGCCAATGCCGTGGGATTACTGCTCGACTTTTTCTACAAGGCCAATCGGAACGAGAAGAAGGGAAGCAAGGACGCTTCTGCGATTAAGGAGGAGGACTCTTGTTCAAGTAAGAACCCCGAGAAGAAGGAAGAAGCAGTAGAAGAAGAGGAACAAATCAAGAAGGAACCCGTAGAGACCTCTGCGCCGACTTCACCCAGCGCCACCGCAACCAACAGCGAGAACGACACAGCGATCAACTCACCGACAAAGCGATTGCGCGCTCTCTCGGTCAGCTGCGTAGACCCTGCAGCGGCCAAGCGCTCTCGTATCGGCTCCTTCTCCACCGTCACGGCTGCATAGACTTCAGTCGGACACCGAGGGAGAGAGCTTTAGGATAGTCATTAGATGCTACTTCAAAGAAGTAGGAAATTTTTAGCCATTTTGTCTAGCTTTTCATGTCACCACACAAGAAGATGAGAACCTTATGAACTCCCAAAGTCCGCCTTTGCATCTATGTAGTTTACTCGTTTTCGCGCCTTGGCTGAGCGAGGGAGCCCGAAATCGCGACAAGTGTAAAGGAACAACGCTGCAACAAGCACTTGGCAAAGTGCTCAGCTGCTGAAAATGATAAGGAGACGCGTCTTACACGTGTCGCTCTCACGTTGAAGGTGTCGATCAGCGGGAAGTGCTGGTTGAAGTGAACTGCAAGCAGGATGTGTTTGTGTACCTATCCTACCGCGCGGATTTGCTGCATGAATCGTATGCTAACCGGCTCCGTCACATTTTCCACGATGTTGCGTATGGCGGCTGGCAAAGGCGCATATAAAATACGAGTTTGGAGTATGATTCAATCTTAAATCAAGTTCTTCACAGTACGAAGTTCACACATGTCTGGCAATGTGTTACGTTAACCTGGCAGTTTACTAAACGTCTTCGCAGTGCCAAACTCGCCTAGACGCTTGATAGTCCGTTACTGCTCTTTACATGACCACCAAGTTACGTGGAGGTGTGGACACACTTGTGCGTATTCAACAAAGTCAATCATTGAAAATCATGATTTTTTTTAAGGAGGCACCAAAGTTTGCATTTGAGAGAGCTTTTCAAGGGCAAATCAACACAACACCAGTCGATCTCGCTAGTCGCAATCTCTTTCATACTCCTGTCTATCCGTCTACATGATGTTGCAGCGCGAGGCCAGTCCACCAGCACCAGACGCAGCCTGTTGCTGCTGCGCCGCCACGTCGCCCATCTTGACTGCAAATGCGTGGATCTTGCCGTACACAGCGGCGATCATCGCAGGGCAGCGAGGGTGGTGGACGACCGTGAGGATCATAGCGTGTAGCGAGCGGAAGGCTTCTTGCAACTGCGGCGAGATCATGTAGCGCACACGCAGGACCTGCCAGTACAGTACGAGCAGCAGGAAGTTGCGCGACGGCGTGAGCATCTCCAGGATCAGCGCAACGCCAATGGCCACATCAATATTGGCCGCCACCTGTGGCATACGCGTGTACAGCTTGGCCCACTTGGCACGCGTGGCCAGTGCCGGGAAGCTCGGATCACTGATGATAAGCGCCGTGAGAGGCACCAATGCCTTGCTGGTCACTAGCGTCACAACGGGAGACTCGGCCAGTCCAAGAATCTGCAATAGCGACTGCAAATAGGCGAAGTAGTGCACCATTTCCAACAGGAACACAGGCATCATTGCCATTCCGTGTGGAGCCGAAACCCAGAACACAAGGCAGAAGAAGAAAACCTGAGCAGCGGGATCCAGCAGCAGACGCTGTGCGTAGGCGGCGTTCCATTTGGGGACACCGTGCGTGAAGGCCAAGTAGCTGGAGTGGTTAACCAGTGCCAGCTTGAAGAAGTTGGAGTAGGCGGCGTAACTGGACAGCAGCATGGGGATCCAAAAGTTGACGAAGCAGAGCAGCATCAGACTGCGCAGGATGAACTGGTACAACTGGAACATGTTGCGCTTGTTGCCAACCAGAAATCCCTTCAAGTTGACTGCTGGGGCTGGTGTAGACGTCGAAGAAGATGCGCTTTGGGACGAGCCGGATCTCTGGGTCACTAGCTTGGCTTCCACGGCACGGAGTCCTTCGAGCAGCCCCGCGTTGGATGCCTCATGACTCAGTCCGTCTTTGTAGGCCCTATAGGCATCGGCGTAGCGTCCCAGGGCGTACAGTGCAGAGCCGCGACGTGAGTATCCCTTGGCCCAGTTTGGCTTGAGTGCGATGCATTGGTCTGCGTCTTTGAGTGCTTCGTCGGCCTTGTTGAGCTTGAGTTGCGCTGCCGAGCGATTGCTGTAAAAGACGTGCGCGTTTGGGTCGGAGGGGGCGACGGCCAGCGCCTCGGAGAAGCAGGCCACGGCGTCCGAGTACAGTCCTGCGGCAAAGGCGCGGTTGCCGCGGGTTTTCGCTTGCTCGGCAGCCATTTTATCGAGGAGTTAAAAATGAAATGACAGATCCAGATTGCTCGAAAAGTTGACATAAGGATAGACAGACAGACTTGTATTGAACGACTTGACATAATGTTTGGAAGATTTGAAAAATTATTGGGTATTAAAGGGTAAACGTTGTGATCATCACTCTTCGGGTCGATCATGACCACCATTCTGCGGCTTTACCCCCAAAGAGGGTTTGTTCATAGTGAGCGATGATCTTCGCAATGGAGGCTCAGACCTCAACAGCGGCCATACGTCGAACCCACGGGTCAGCGCCGAGCTCGCGCAACTAGCTGCCACCTCTTCCATCTTCTTTTGTGAGCACCGAACCACGACAGTCCAAGCTATCCGGTGTCTCATGAATTCCAGCGGACTTAATCACGGCTTCCATGGAATTTGCACGGGGGCCGGTAAGGGTTCGCCTCCGACTTGGGTCTGAGCATACTCAATAACCCGAACAAAGCCATCAGCAGCGTTCATCCACGTAGAGATCAGCGACGGGAGAGTTTTTTTTTCACCTGTTTCCTAGTCATATTTGTCGTTTTTGCCTCGTTAATGACTAATAGCAGAATATGATCAAAGAGTGTTCCTCTCCGTTATTTTTCAGGACGTCATCCAGGCGGAAAGTTGCCTTTTCGGACATCGTTGGCTGTAATTGGTTCTTGTGAGGCTTGTTGTCAAGACGGTAACTGGAAAATATGAGAGAAGACACGGCAGACCGGCACGTTTATATTTTGTTTTCAAACCGAACCTGGCCTCATTTACCAAAACATTGGAATTGTTTGCTTTCATAGGAACGTAATGCAAAGAAAAAGCAACTTTTCAAAGAAACTTTGGCATGTGCTCTCTAGTGGATGTCTGAAATATGTCTAGTACCAGGACGTCCTTCTTCTCACTGATTCCTTCAAAACGTATAATTCTGGCTGTCATGGCGCTTGCAAATTGACGTTCCTTCTCGTTCCAAAGGCGGAGCTGGTTCTGCCACTACATCTAGCAAATTCTTTCACACTAAGCAAGAATCGCAAAATAATAGTAAGCTTCGTCGTGGCAATAAATCATGTTGTTTCTTACCAGTAGTACTTACGGGATGTGGTGGTTGCGCTTGAAGCAGATCTTCTACTTGCTTCGAGAGTTGTATCTGTGTCGCCAGGTTTTTTCGTAGCTCGACATTCTGTTGCTCCGCCTTGCGGCGCGCTCGAAATTGCTGCATTGCAATGTTGCGCCATACTGCCGCTTCAGCTGTAATATCACTACCATGTTCAGGAACATTCTTACGATTCCTGTCGTTTTCATCGACAACTGGATTTCTCACAACTTCTTCGTTCTCGAGGTAATTCGCGTGGGTGCCGAATCGAGGGGAGCGTGGGCTTCTCAGAGTTTCAAGATGGTTTTCCATCTTCTGAACAACCAAACGGAGCTGTATCAATTGTTCGCGCATACGGATGCGGCCGCCACCGCTGCTTTGACTTGTTGGGGCCATCGCCTCTGTACTGCCCGTTTCGGTTTGTACACGAAGGGGAGATCTTGTTAGCTGGTGGTTCACATTTGGAATTTCATCTTGGTTGTCGTGGAGTTGTTCAGGTGCAATAGGCTTGTGTTCCTGAAGCATTGTCGTCGCTGTAGGAACACGTGAGCTGTTCAATCCGTTGTGTGAGAAGGCGGCATGAACAGCTTCAATTGCGGTCTTGAGCAGATCGTCCGCAGCAGCTTTTTCATCTGGTATCTCTTGAGCGACACGAGGCGACTCTGGAGCAGCAGCCCCAAGCCGATTGACGTCGATACTGTCGAGGATTGCCAATGCCTCAGCGAGAAGTTCATCATTGTCGACAATGTCGAAATTCAGTGGTTCCATGCTGGTTGTCTGACGACCAATTGAAGGTTAATCGAAGAATGAAAGCAGCAGTCATGTTCGTCAAGGAATATCATGTTGTTTGTCTACGAACGAATAGCTGACGAATAGGACGCGATCAACTGGTCATCGTAGTGTCGCTTGCTCGAGAAGCGGAACATTCATTCTACAGTTTCTTCGTTCGAGTATAATGCATATATCAACGCGACCCTCAAAAATAAGATGAAGCATCCATTTCAATGGTAGACCGACTACTTTGCGTTTAGATTGCGTATACTTCGTGTTCACTTGTGACAGGCATCGACGAAGGTAGTGAGACGTTTTCGCTTTGTACTTGTCAAATGAACTGAAGTGGATTCTCAATCAGATACAAAGTAACTTCACTCGTGGTGGATTGACTACACGTGACGAAGAAGCAAGTCTAGTTCATTTCCGACCTTACCTGAAGTGTAATCTGTACCCACCGTACCTTCAACTCTGAGATACTACTGAACTAACATGTAAAGTCACAGCCAAGATAGTCCAGACAAGGGTGTCGATAACCATTTGTGCTTCCTCCCCCTCCCCTTATGGGTCATCAGCAAGAGATTGCCTTAGCGAGACAGCGTCAAGTTAGTACTATGAATCCTTTTAGAACATTCGAAACTTGCACTTACAGAATGCGCTTGCTGGTCCTGTAGTAACTTCTTCACTTGCTCTGACAATTGAATACTGGCCCACAAGTTCTCTCGAAGTTGTGCGTTATGCACTTCAGCCTTGCGACGAGCTCGAAATTGCTCCATTGCGATGCTTCTCCACACAGTGTTCACCTTCGCTTGCTTTTCACTCCTTGCCATGATCGATTGGTTGTCGTCGCACGAATCAAAATGCAACGATTCAGGAGGATTCTTCAACGTTTCAAGATGATTCTCCATTTTCTTCACCACCGCGCGGAGTTGAATTAACTGCTCACGAATGCGAAAGCGGCCGCGACTTCGCCCACGAATTGTTGGCGACCGTTTCTCAATGGTATCCGGCTCAAGTTGTTCGTTAACAGCGAGTGCACCTTGGCCTTGGGTTCCAGAAAAACTCGATTTCTCTTCTCGTTCACGCTCAGGAGCTGTCATCGATACAAAAGACTCCGAGTCGACTTGGGACAGTCTCTCGATCGAAGCTGTGTCTTCAGGTAACAGGACAAGGTAGTCATTATCGAAGCTGTTGAGGATTGTGATGATTTCGCTCATGAATTCTTCATCGTCGATAATGAAAGCAGACGGATCCATCGAAACAAGGCCTCCACAGGAAATCGAACAATGAGACCGAGCACCCTGATGACCGTTAAGCTTGCTGATGACGTTTTGAAGCTCACTCTCGGATCTCGTAGCATACCATAGAGGATCTTCGGACACAAGTTGGGTGAGTAATCAATGCTGTCCTGCATGTGATGATACGAAGTTAGTGGTGCAGTTCCAACGTTGAATTCAATCTTTACCTTTCTGGTACTTCAGCAAGAAGTCAGGGTGTTAGTTCTACCTCTTCCAGCTGTGACGGGCGCCTCTACATGGACCGTGATTCATATAGGGCGGCATGTGTGTACAGTTACCGGCCGAAGTGACTGAGTCAGTCATAACGACCTGTGGTCATCTGCAACGTGGGTTTACCATTAGAATCGGAAGATGATATCGACTACACACTACTAAGCACACCTTTTTCTTTTATAAACATGCCACGTCACCCTGGAACATCGTCTTCTCGCTAGGCTGTAAATTCTGGAATAAGATTTTTTATAGAAACGAATTTTTAGGCAACCAAGGGTTTCAAAACAAATAGGCCACCTTTCATTTCCCTTTTCAAAATATGCAGCATCGAGGAGAGGTTGAACTGGGCGATGCCCAGTGAAGAGGATGTTGCATATGACGAGAATCTTCTGCTGATAGTTGCGACCAAGGCGAAGATTGCAGACTCCAGTATACCTGCGCGCAGAGTGCAGCTCTTCCTGGTAAAGATAACGGACGGCAAGATGAAGGCCCTGATGTAGACGATTGAAGGAAGGGAACTTTCACCCCCAAACGAGAGGAACATAATTTGGGTACGACCCTCGCCAAAAGGACTCTCTTGGTATCGAACAAGCGGGATTTCTGGCGATACATCTACTTCGAAGGTTGCGAAGTCGAAATCAGCTGAACTTTGCCAACAACTATCCAATAAGGCTACTTTAATCAACGGCCAACGTGCTGGAATTGCGCTGTGCCATCACGCCTTGGGGAATGTCCGGTGTAGATCCTTCTTCAGGATCCGTGGCGATGCAGCCTCAGCGTTGCTCCTCCACTTGAAGGTGAATTTCCCGACAATGTTTGTTGAGTCAATCCACGTGCGCAATTTGATCAGCAGATACAAGTGCATAGATGTTCGATCCGCAACTAACGTCGTTTCCGACCACTTATCTACCGAGTAAATTCTGACAATCGACTTCCAAAGATCCAGCTAAATCGAGGAACTAAAATCCCCAGATCCCCGATAGTTCGTGAACTTGCTGCGGCTCTGGTTCGTTGTCTGACGTCAAGATCGCATCTAATACCCTGTTTTATTCTTAAAAAATATTCGAAGGTACTAAAAGTGACTGAGTCAGTCATAACGACCTGTGGTCATCTGCAACTTGAGTTTACCATGGAACGAAAGAGACGATACCGCCAACACCTTTTCAATTCATTTTCCTTGCGTACAAACGTGACAAAGGCATTGGTCGACCTGTTACGCATGACGGGAGGTAGATGTCCTCCTACACACTGAATTCGAATTGCTTAAATCTAATCGGAGTCATCAGAGGAGTCAATCACGATCACGTCCCACGCGTGTGCAGCAGGCTGTTCGTCCTCAGCTTCAACTGCACCTTTGACTTTGGTCGGTTTGGAGTTCTCTCGCTTAATTTTCGCGGCGGCAGCAACAGGACGTCGCACTGATCTCGTAATCTTAAGCCTCGAAGACGAAGCTGGTCGCGCACTCTTTTCCTCTTCCTCGCTGTCATCACCATCGTCGTTCTCGAGGTCGATCACATCGGCATCATCTGAGGGGTTCTCCTCTTCATCATTGCTGTTCGTTGCCTTTTTTGTCTCCTTCTCACGGTTGCTTTCAACACTTGAGCGTTTCGTTGCAGCCTCAATCTCGTCCCGCTTAATCTGCTCCGCCCAGACCGCTCGCACGCGTGGGGAAAAATACGGATCCTCCAGCTGCATCAGCGTCGTCTCCTCGGCTGGTGTCAACTCTACCCGTTGCGCATTAGACTTGACCGAGGTGGACTCTCCATCCTTTTCCAGTTGTTGTTTCTCGATAATCTGCCGCAGACGCACTGACGGAACAAAGTGCGGGTCTTCTTCTCGCATGCCACGAATATCCCGAATGCGTCGTCTAGTTTCTCCTTCCAAGTTCCCACCAGATCGTGACCTATGCTTGATATCAACGGGAGCCTCCTTTGCGTCGTCATTGCTCAAGTCAACGTATCCATCATTCCGATACGTGCGAGCCTTGACGATCAAGTTACGACAAGCAAGAGCGAGCGCCGTCACGTAATTTTCCACCCAGCTGGAGCTAGGGAACGAACTCGTCTTGTTCGCCGAGCTGAACAGCGGCAGTTTCCAAACTGAGGCCAAGTGCTCGTCCAGTCCGTAACACTCAACACCTTGTAGCAGCAGAATGTCGTGTCTTGGACTACTCCACCACACGGGATACTCTGTAGACCCCGACTGAGCCCTGACTACACGAGTAACCACCTCCACAAGCTGAGCGGGTGGCAGAACAAGGATCTGCGTCCGCAGCAGGCGGAACAGGTCCACACGGTGCAACAAGCGTCGACACTGTGTGGTTGTAAGCAGCCAAAAGCCTCGTTTGCCGCCCAAAATCGAGTTCTCTTCGCTGAGCTCACTGTTACTCATCCCATCAACGACGGGATGAAGTCGCTGACGACACACGCGCTCCAAGTCTAGCGCTTCAGCGAGTAGTTCCTCCAACGGATAGCGCCCAATTTCCAGCTGGCTATCCTGCAAAAAGTAGCGCCATTTCTCGTTGCGTTCGCGCTTGTCTCGACACGTACTGATATCCGGAATACCGTACGAGAAGACGAGCTTCGCGAACTGATTGTGACGTAAGCTGTGGAATGATGTGCTTGCGTGCTGACGCGATTGTTGCGCACGCTGCAGCTCGCGTTCACGTAGCAGTTGCTGCTGCTTTTCGTGTTGCCGCTGATACTTTGCAGCCGTAACATTCAACGCTGTAGCGATCCATGTCGGTGGAGTTGGAACAGGAGTTGCCTTCACGGCAGTCCACAAGTGTAGCAGTACCTTTATACGTCGATTGAGAATCGCTAGAGAAGGCCACTCGCCGATCGGGTATCGCTTCGCGCGCTCTCCAAATATTGTCGTCGAATCCACCATTCGGCTTGGAAGAGTTCGTCCCTTGATCCATCCCTCGCGATACACGTACAATAGGAGCATAACGTCGTCCACACGAGAAATCCACCACGGGGCTACTGGCTCATGAGAGTTGACAGATGCTAGCGATCGGAGGATCTTCATTGCCTGCTTGCGCTCAATCTTGTCCTTTGCGGCAGCTGCGTCAGTCTTCTCCTTCGTGGCATCCTGTTGCGTTTTCAGTGCTTCCGATTGAGCACCACCAGAAGAAGAATCGTCCTTCGTCTCATCCTCGGCTTTATCTGAAGATGATTTACGCTCACTATTCGCAGCAGCAGCGCTTTTGTCATCCATTTCGCCGCTTGAAGGTGGCGAATCCATCGCTTCCGTGTCGTCCTTATTGCTGGTGACATCCGATACAGAGGCTGCAGTACCGCTATCCGACGAGGAGGTAGGTTTAGCCGCAGACGGTGTCGCAGCTGTATCCTCTTCGCTAGCAGCACTTGGCGAAGACTTGGACTCGTCAGGTTCTGCTGGAGAAGATTTCTTACCCTCCGACTTGGTCACCGCCTCACTTGTTTCTGCAGCAGCGGGCTTCTCTTCCAGACTTCGGTCTGTCGCACCAGAACCTTCCTCGTCCTTGTTCACGTCCTTGGTGTCTGTAGCCGCAGAATCTACCTCGCCCTTGCTCGTGTCCTTATTTTCACTACTTTCTGCTGCGATCACCTGTTCAGAACGATCCTCTGCAGCCTCTTTAGGCTTCTCTTCGACAGCTGCAGATTTCTCTATCTCCTCGACAAAACCCACATCAGCAGGTTCAGGAACTGTGCCGGACTCAATCATTCTATGAGCCTCAGCTTCGTCTCCAATCTTTTGAAGGTCCTTGATCAAACTGACAAGAGGAGGCACTTGCACAAACTTGAGTCGCACAAACTCGCTAAGCTTGAACATCGTGTCGATCTGTTGCAACTTCGTGCGGAACCCACGCGCTTCTCGACTCTTAAAGTCCGTAGTCCACAGTCGTGGTGGTACTGCCACAGCCAGCAGATTCGCAACCCTCATATCCTTCAGCATAGGCGTAAGGAAGCGGTAGCGACGGAGTGAGCTGTTCAGTTCATGAGCATATCTCTCAATAGGTGACGCATTCGCCAGAACTTGCGGAGGGGCTGTTGTTGACACGATATACACTCGACTAGGCTCCAGATCCAGTCCAATACGCGGGAAGGCTGCCATCGCTGTCGTCACGCGCACCATGCCAGTGATATAGTCTTGAACGAACTTGATCAACTCCTTGTCTGAATACGGTTGCAACCTCGGAGCATGACGCTTCATGTCATCCCATCGTCCGTATCCGAAAGTTCCAAGAAGTTCAGATATGCGATCAACTTGGTAGTGGATCGGCAGCGCTGGTGTCTTCGAACGCTTCCGTTTCCCATTGGAAGCTATGCCAGACAAATCGTCCTTAGCCAACGCTATGTCGCTCGAATCATCATCATCGTCGTCGTCATCAGAGATGACAAATTCTTCGTCTTTTTGACGACCAAGTTCCCGGAATAATTTCTTTTGCGCCGACGAAGCTTCATCTCCGCTATCCATCATGAAAGCCTTATCGTCTTCAGTTAAATACGACTTGACTTTGCGACGACAGCGTCTCTTTTGCAGAGGTGAAGGCTCCACTTTCTTCTGTTCCTCGACTCCATTGAGACCAATGACCTTCGTCCAGAAATTGGGATCGTCAATGTCTACCTCCTCGTCTGGATTCGTCGAGCTCACGAAAGTCGCCTTTGAGAACGAAGACATGGCGTTCTTCTTCTCGTTTCCATTGACATCTCGAGTCGGGTCGTGCACGATCGTTGTACTTCGGCTGAGAATTTGATCGATGCTCTCCTCACCGAATTTCTTGCTGGCCGCTTCAGCTTCACTATCCTGCTCCTTGAACATTTCGTACGCGCCATGCTTGAGCAAGTTCTCAATCTCCTCCTTGGACATTCGATCGTTGGTCTTGGTCTTCTTCGCCGTGCCCTTCAGCTTCGCTACAGGGTCGTCATTTTTTATTCCTCCTAGCACTGCTTGATCCAGTCCGAGCTTCAATGACGCCTTGTGGAACATGTGCAACTCGTACGTTTTCGCTGTGAGCAGACGATAAATCTTGACGCTCTTCTTCTGACCAATACGATGACAACGCGCTTGCGCCTGAAGATCGTTCTGCGGATTCCAGTCGCTATCGTAAATAATTACAGTATCAGCCGCTGTCAGGTTAATACCCACACCACCAGCACGTGTACTTAGCAGCATGATGAACGAATTACTGTCCTCACGACAGAATCGATCGATCGCTGACTGTCTCTCGTTGCCCGTGATATTGCCGTCGATACGCTCACAGTTGTAGCGACGCAGCGCCAGATAATCCTGAATGATGTCCAGCATGATTTTGAACTGTGAGAAGATCAGAACGCGATGGCCAGTCTCCTTCAGACGCGGCAGCAACTTGTCCAGCAGAACCAACTTGCCCGAAGTGTCCACAAGGCTCTCACTGATTTGGCGTTGAATCTCTTCTTTGGACACATTTGGTTGCTTCGCCAATCGCTTGACCTCGCGCTCTTCCACACCTTTTACGAGGAAAGGATGGTTGCAGCACTTTCGGAGCTCCATCAGAACATTCATTAAACTGGGAGTGTCGCCCTTCCTGCCGCCTCTCGAAAGAAACTCTGTATTCTTCTCGTAGATAGCACGGTAGTATTGCTTTTGAAGCACAGTGAGCTCCACTTCGATAATCGTTTCCTCCTTCGGAGCAAGCGACTTCTCCACATCCTCCTTCATTCGTCGAAGCAAGTACGGCTTTAACTCCGAGTGCAAGCGTTCGACCTGTGCAGAATCGGTCAGCTCTCCAAAGCTCTCGAGAAAACTCTCCTTCGAAGCAAACTTCTTGGTGTCCAGAAAATTCAACAGCACCCAAAGTTCCTCCACATTGTTCTGCAGCGGCGTACCAGTCAGCAATAGCATGCTCTCATACGTAAACCTAGTGTGCAGGATGTTAGACAGCTTGGAATTCCGGTTCTTGAGACGATGCGCCTCGTCCACAACCATCAGCTGCCAGTTGATCTGAGCCAACTTGTACAAATCCGTAGCAGAAGCCATCTCATACGTGGTAATCAGCACGTCAAAGCGGTAGCAGTTGCGCTTGGGTTGCGGTACAGTTCGTTTTCCATTAATGACGTTCTTCCCAGTCAGCTCATCAGCACGCAATAGCTCGTCCTCCGACATGAAAAACTCGTAATTCTGCAAAACATTTCGTGCTGCAGCAGATCCATGATAAACGACGGCATTGAGATTGGTCCAGCTGTCGAACTCGCGCTGCCAGTGACCCAACGTCGAAAGTGGCGCGACGATGATGAACGGCTGCGGTGAGCGCTCTACAACTGCGAGATGGTTGATGTACATCACCGTTTGCACGGTTTTACCTAGACCCATTTCATCTGCGAGCATCGAGTTACGTTTCTGGTACCAGTTGAAAAGCATCCAGTTCACGCCAGTGAGCTGATAGTCACGCAGTTGGAAGGTTTGCTCCTTTTTGCACGGCGGAGGGGACTCAGCGGTATACCCTCTAAAGTTCTTGCGCTTACTCTGCGGCAAGTGTTTGGCGAGGGCAATCTTCTTGAAACGCTTCCCAGCTCTCATAATACGATCGTTATATTGCTGCACAGCTGCGTCATCGCCGACGTCATCTTCCCGCTCCCACGTGATCTCATCATAGGGAAGAGCCTTCCACTTCACCAGGAAATACAGGAAATTGCTCTCACCGTCCACAGTATCATCAGGAGCAAAGTCATCGAGAGGCTTGTCTCGAATTTCTAGAATGCGATCGACGCTTCGAAATTCCGGGTTGAAATACTCGTCTCCTTGTACATCCGGAGAGTACAAAGAACGGAGTTCTTTCTCGCGGAAGCGTTGGATTTTACCCTTCGCGTTCTTGTCTGTCTCCAGCAGCTCGTCTTCTGTTTGCCAGCTGGTATGGAGATACGACAGCGTCTTCCACTTGACCAAGAAACGTTCCTCGCCAGCATCTTCAACCTCATCGTCATCAATGCTAACCTTCGGTTCCGACGGTGCCTCGGTTGTGGTAGCAGTAGAGCTTTCGCCGTCTTTCTTCTCCTGCCCTTCTTTTTTCTCCTCCTGCTTCTCCT